CTTTACTCGTAGCCTTCCCTGCGGCGATCGCATTCGAAGTGTTTTCACAGGTTTAGGAATCGGTTTTGCAACCATTACCGGTGCTGGATCGCGGATGTACAAATGCTGCCTGCTCGTCACGAGCTTCTGAGCGCCAAAGCCCAGACTAATCTAATATAGAAGCCTGAGTCTGAGTAACTGCCCATGTCATGTGCTGGGGTGGGTCGTTACGATACATATTGTACCCCAGAGCAAAGCCCTAATCTAAGTAAGTTGTTATGGCTGTTATTATTCGACCCCATGCCGGAATTGCATCCTGGCTTTCTCACGCCTAGGAAAACTAACTTCCAGGCAGTGTTCCGAACCTCATTGGAAACATTTCGGGGTTTAGGGTCGGAGGGATTAGGGTTTTAGGGATTTATAGTTTCAGGGTCGACAGGTTTGGGGTTTCAGATTTTCAGGGCTTTAGAGTGTTAGGGTTTAGGGTTGAGGGTGGCAGATCTCATGTGTATGAAGCATATCTACTTCCACAAACCCTGTGTAGAACCAACCGTGGGGCAACAGAAGGCCTGGTCCAGACCGACCTCTAACGCCCATCGCATGTCAAGCGTCCTGCGATTCAGGCTTGATATTACCGCCCCGAGCACCTGAATCTCCCGCTTTCCTGAACTCCGAAACATGTCGGAGACTCTGGCAAGAATCGAGTAGAGAAGATTACCTTCTAATAGTTTAAGGCCTCTACGCAACTATGACAGAAGATGCCCCAAAACCGCAGTCGGATTGTTGAAGCCCCCTGAAAGTCCGAAGCCAGAAACCCCAGAAGCATAAACTCTGACCATGAATTCCCAAAACCCTAAACCCCCGAAGTCCTGCAGCCCTAACACCATCAAGCCCCAATACTAAGGGCCTACTAAAGGCCCCAAACTGAGCTCGGCGCCAGAAGTTTCAGAATCGTCCCAGCCATGGCCTCAAAGCAAGAGCCTGCGTTTGCCATGATCTGCGGATCAAAAGAAGCACGAGGATCTACTTTATGGGTTTAGGGTTGGGGGCTCAGGCTTTGGAATTTGATGTTCATCGTTCACGGTCTACGGTTTAGGATTCACAGGGTGCAAGATCTTCGGTTGGGTTTAAGGGCTTGCCTTATCTAGGGCTGCCAGGAGCAAAAGTAGCGTTCCTCACTACTCCTTACTTTTCAGCATGGTACGTAATCGCCCAACCCCCTGCGCTGCAGATGTGGGTGGAGAGTGCCTGTGCCACCTTTGTTGGGCTTGGGGGTTTGTCCGCTTGGCTGCTACGAAATCCTTTCTAAGGTGCCTAATCTCAGATACCACAGTATGAACTCTTTTTTCTGTGCATGCTCCCCTGAACTTCCCTGAACCCTGAGCCCTAAACCCTAAACCGGGGGGAACCCTGCACCCACAGGGCAGCTTCTGGACTCTCCCGCTCGGCCCCACACCACCCTCAAGAAGATTTTCGACTCCACGGGCAGCCAGAAAGAGCAAGGGTTTGGGAGGTTTAGGGCTTAGGGTTTAGGGTTTAGGGCCTAGGAAGTAAATCCTATACCGGAGAGCAAGGAAATGGGAGTTTGGGAGATAAGAGTTTCTCCTTGCACAGGAACTACGATGTAGCTCCGAAGCATTGCAGCGGCCCAGCCCAAATATCCAGCAATATTGTCCCCTAAACCCTAAACCCCTTACTATCGGAGTATCAACCCTAATTATCTTATATCCTAAACTCAAAACCCCACAACCCTAAAGCCGAAAACCCCAATTGTTACTTGCGGCCCGTAGATCAGCCCCGTCACATAGGACTTCGGATCCCTCGTCCTACATCCAAACTCCAAAGCGGCAGTAAACTTCCTAAACCCTAAAGTCCTTATAGCCCTAGCCCTCCACTTAAATGGTAGTGGACATTTTCGGCCAGGATTTGGACCACGCCGGATTTGGGGATCTGCAGGCGGTGAGTGGTTCGGCTTTAGAATCTGTAACTACTGATGTCTGTGCTTGTGACAAGGTGCCTTTGCTGATGCTCGTGTTGCTGATGACGATGTTGATGAACCTGCTGGTGTTACTGTTGTTGTATATTGGGTGAGTGTGTTGACTATGGTGGTTAGGCCAAAGAAGATGGACCTCATGAGTGGCAATTGCCAGGATGGCAACATTGACGACGACGTCGTCGCCGTCGTCAATGACAGGAATGTTGCGGATGACAGTGTCGTCGATGCTTACCGTGACGCCAATAGTGGTGATGTGGATGAGGATGAAGTCACGGGTGGGCTACGGCGCGTGCTGCGGTAAGGTGATAAGCATGGTTGTGGCTGTGACGATGATCATTCTCAATAGCAACTTTAGCGGCTTGGCCGGGCCATAATCAGGGGTATCAGTTTCCCTTGTGATCAAGGTTGCCTCAACCCCAACCCCTAGCCCTGGACCCCAAAAGATCAAGGACCCAAGGAGTTGATCAGCTAATGGAGCCGCTGCGCTGAGTAGTCCTTTTTGAATCATCGCGTGCCCGAAACCTGTAAAAAATCGGGTACCCAAAGCCCTGGGGTTAAGAGCCCGGTTGAGGGCTTCTGGTAGGGTTTAGGGTTTAGAGTTTTGGGTTTAGGAACCCTTCTTCGAAACCGCATGGAACTCGCTGCAGCAAGTTCCAGCCCACAGGCGAGCAAGTCTCTGGACCCAAGACCGTGATGTAGGGGCCTCATTTATTGGCGCTGGGTTTGGGGCTACATTATAGACGTATTCTAAGAATAAGGAACCCTAGGTCAAAACTCCGGACTTCTATTCTAACTATTAAGTTTGGAAAGAACCACATTCGTAGGATCTTCCGGACATCTCCATTGATCCGGAGGAGAAGGTGGGCCCGTTGGTTGGGGTTTAGGGTCTTCCAGCCTTTTCCGTGCATTGCTAGGACGTTGTGCCTGTGTGTGGTTCGGGGTCTGAGTTTAGGGCGTGTTGCAAGTACTTCGGCCCCTACGACGCAGCCTGTAAGAAACTTCGGCTCCCATGAGGCCCTAAACTCTGATCATAGCGCCGAGCACCAACACCTCGTTTCAGGTTTCGGCTTTCGAGCTCTCGAGTGGTTTAAGGTCTAGCCTAGGTTTTAGGGAAACCCAAGAATTCAACAACACAACTCAAGCAATAAGCAATACCACTCCTTAGGCGTCTCGAGTATATCGAGAGGGGTTTGGAAGATGGGATGTGGGGAGTACTGCAGGGGTCAAAGTTTCGCTGAGTACAGCCCGTATATTCAGTGTCGACGGTAACTCACAAAAGTCATCGACAAGCACAGGTCTTGACCGCGATCAACGACAGTGACGACAGAAGGCTTGGTCAGGGTATCGAGGATTAAATTCCAAGGCGCTGAACATTCAGCGACTGCTCAGGCAGCAGGTGCTTGTTTGCAAAAAAGCCTGTTTTTGGCGTGCGTCCGGGCAAGGTTGTTTTTTTTTTCAAGGTTTGACGAGAGGCTCTGCTTTAGAAGAGTTGGCTTGAAGGTGGGTCTCCTGGTCCTGCGCTCCCCTGGACCTCTGGTTTCTTGGTCCCGCGGTTTTCCAACTCGCTGCTACGTCTTTATTTTGGCCCTCTCGTTTCTCTTGCCTCCTGGTCTTCGTGTCCATTGGTCGCTTGGCCACCCGATCTCTGTGCCTTTGGTCTTCTGGTTCTCAAGTCCTGTAATTAGTCCTCTGGTACCCTAATGCCCTGGTCCTCTGCTCTACATGCTTCGCGTCGCAGTTCGTTAGTCTTCTGGTCCTCTGGTCCTCTCGTTCCTTGGTCCTCTCGTTATGATGGACCGGAGTTGCAAATTGGTTTCTATGGGCTTTGTGTTAGTCGTTCGTGTTTTTTGTTATTTTGAAATTTCGGAGGGTTTCCGTCAAATGAGGGGGCGTGTTTAGGATGCATGATGAACCGGAATCGCCGAATGAGGGCGCCTGTTTAACATATGATGAACCGGGATCGGTAAATGAGGGGTCGTGTTTAAGATATATGATGAACCCGCATCGCCAAATGAGGGGGCGTGTTGAAGATAGATAGATAGAGAGAGAGAGAGAGAGACAGATAGATAGATAGATAGATAGATAGATAGATAGATAGATAGATATATATATATATATATATATATGCTAGCCTCCCCCCTGGACCAACCTTTCACATGAAATCTTATAGACTTTCCAAATTTCAGCACGCGCCATACTATTTTTGAGTTCCAGAATTCTTAAACCTGCCCAAAATTTCCAAAACTTCCAAAATTTCCAAAAATTCCAAAAGTTCCAAAAATTCCAAAAATTCCAAAGAAAATTCCAAAAAAAATCAAAAAAACTCAAAAAAATTCCAAAAATTCCAAAAATTCCAAAAATTCCAAAAAATTCCAGA